TTTTTTTTTTTTTTGGTACCGGGGATCGAACTCAGATCCTCCCGGTTGCAAGGCAGGTGGCGGAACCACTGTTTCTTTCACTTTTTTTTTTTTTTTTTAAATTGTGTGGTTTTGTTTAAATTACATAACCTTATTAGACAAAACATGAGAGTGGCAAGCCAATAGGTCCTTTTTAATTTTTTCAACTTTCATATGGAAATAATTTCAAGTTTAGAGAAATTTTGCAGGAATGAAAGTAGTACAAAGAACATTCATATACTTTTTACCCATATTAACTGTTGTTAACTATTTACTTTCTTACTTTGTCATTTGCTTGTTTTCCCCAACTTAGGTCTCAACAACTCTGGATCATTTTTGTGGCCACTTTTGTCTTACATAGGATTAACATGTTTTAAAAGTACAACCATCTTTCTCTTCCCTCCCCTTTTTTAATAGAATGTTCCTCAATTTGGGCTTCCTCATGATTAGATTCAAGTTACATATTCTTGGTTCAAATACTACACTGGTGGCTGTGTCCTCAAAAGTGTGACATCTAGGAGCATACAATATCCATTTTCTCACTGATAATTTTGGTCACCTGGTAATGATGGAGTTCTATTTTTCTAACATACAGTTACCATTTTTTACCTTCTAACTAATAAGCTGTCTCTGGGACTCCTAAGTCCCCAATAATAATCTTTCCTTCAGGATTAAAATCCACTCCTGATTCTTCCTTCAGTCTGTACTTTGACAGTAGCTATGTGGTGATTTCCCAATTCCAGCATTCCTTCCTCATGTGCCAGTTGTCACTCAACATTCTACTGCAAGCAGGATCCCTCCTTTATCCCCCTCCATCCATCCACTTATCCATCTGTGTATCCTCTTAAATTTTATATATGGTGGGCTGGGGATTTTTTTTCACTTTTTAAAACCTTTTAGCATGCATAATTTAAAATATGTTCAAAAGTAGGGATAAGCTGGGTGGGATGGCACATGCCTATCACAATGAGTTAGAGGCCAGCCTAGGCTACGTAGCAATTTCAAAGCCAACCTGAACTACAGAGCAAGACCTTGTCTCAAAAGAACAAAACAAAACAAAAACCATAGAAAAATGTAACAAAACTACACATTAACCACCAGGCGGCCAATAATTTTCAGCCCCCACAGCCAATCTTGTTTTATTTTTGAAGAAAAGGTCTTGTACATTGCCCAGGTTGCCCTTGAACTCTTGGGCTCAGGGGATCCTTCTGCCTCAGCCTCCCAAGTAGCTGGGACTACAGGTATATGCCACCCTGTACCAAGTTTGTTCTCTCTCTGTTTCTGTCTCTCCCCTCCCTCCCCTCCTTACCTTCCTTCCTTCCTGGTGCTAGGGGTGGAGCCCAGGCCTGGGTGCTTTTTTGTTTTGTTTTTCAGTAAAAAGGATCGAACTCAGGACCTTGCGCTTGACAGGCATGTGCAGTGCCACTGAGCTACATCCCTGGCCCCTGGGCGCATTTTTTACCACTCTGACTGCCCCCAACCCCAAACGCTTGCTTTAAATCTCCACTCTCATCCCTACCATGTCCCTTTTTTTTGAGACAAGGTCTTGCTGTGTAGTCTAGGCTGGCCTTGAACTCACTATGGAGCTCAAGCTGGCCTCAAATTTCCAGCAATCTTCCTGCCTCAGCCTCCCAAGTGCTGGGATGACAGGCGTGCACCAGCACACCTGCCTGTCACAGGATAATTTTGAAGCAAATCAGACACATCATGTCATTTTATTGTAAAAACTTCAACATGTGTCTCAGAAACATAAGCATAGGCTGTCGTGACAATGCCATTGTCAACACAGAAAGAACTCCACAATCATTCCTCAATTCCTCAATGCCTGTCCTGGAAATCAGGGTTTTTCTTTTTTCTTTTTTTTTTTTTTGGCACCAAGGATTGAACTTGAGACCTTGCACTTTCAAGGCAGGTGGCGGCACCACTGAGCTAAATCCCTGGCCCTAAAAGTTGCATGTTTACAATTATAAGACTTTTTTTTTTTTTCCTTTGGTACCGGGGATCGAACTTGGGTCCTTATGCTTTCGAGGCAGGCGATGGAACCACTGAGCTAAATCCCCAGCCTGGGTTTTTTGTTGTTGTTGTTGTTGTTGTTGTTGTTGTATTTTATCCTGGAAATGTTTTAAATTTCCCTAATTGATTTAAAAAAAAATTTTTTTTTGAAATCTCTTTGTTTGTTTCTTTTGGTACCGGAGATCAAATTCAGGTCCTTGTGCTTGCAAGACAAGCGGCAGAACCACTGAGCTAAATCCCCAGCCCTAAATTTCTTTTTTTAATGAGACAGGATCACAAATCTAAATCAGTAGTTGCTCAGGCCAGGCTTGAACTTGGAATCCTCCAGCCTCAGACTCCCAGATAAATACTTGTGTACTTCCCCTTGGAAGAGGCAAATTCATAGAAACAAAGTAGAATAGAAGCTAAGAGGGGAGGATGTAGGAGGAAAGAGGAAAAGAGGGGTGGGGATGTAGCTCAGTGGTGCAGCACCTTCCTGACAAGCACAAGGTCCTGAGTTTGATCCCTGGAAAAAGAAGGGAAGAGAAGTTAGTATTTAATGAATACAGAATTTCAGTTTGGTTTTTTGTTTGTTTGTTTGTTTGTTTGTTTGTTTTGATACCGGGGATCAAACTCGGGTCCTTTCGCTTGCAAGGCAGGTGGTGGAACCACTGAGCTAAATCCCCGGCCCTTCAGTTTGTTTTTTGAAAACATGTTCTTCCTATCTGGTTCAGGCTGGCCTTGAACTCACTATGTAGCCCAGGCTGGCCTCCAACTCACAGCAATCCTCCTGCCTCAGCTTCCCAAATGCTGGGAGTGCAAGCATGTGCCATCTATCCTGGCTCAGCGTTTCAGTTTGGAAAAGAGAAAAAGTTCTGGAAGTAAGAGTGGTATTGACCAGATATGGTGGCAAAAGCCTATAATCCTAGCACTCAGGAGGCTGGGGCAGGAGGATCTCAGCAAATTCGAGGCCAGCTTGGGCTACATAGTTGAGTTCAAGGCCACCCTGAACTACATAGCGAGATCCTGTCTCAAAAAAATAAAATAAAATAAAAGAGTGGTATTGGTCAAGCAACGATGTGAATGTATTAATAAATGCTACTGAACTGTACTGTTAAAATAAGCCAGGCTCGGTGGTACACACCTACCATCCCAGCACTCTGGGGGGCTGAGGCAGGAGGATGGCAAGTTCCCGAGCAGCCTTGAATCCGAAGTACTGAAAACGAAAGAAAACAAAACAAAAAGAACTCTCACCTTTTGGCCTCACTCAGCGCCAGAGACCTCCTCTGTTAACTTCCTCTCTGCAGCGGATTACCCTCCTGCACCCAAGCTCTCCCGGAAGAACCCCCCCGCCTTACTCAGTACTAGAGACTGAAGGCACCCCCAATATTCTGAGCTTTTCCTGTGGGCTCCTTTGGGTGCCAACTGTGCAGCTGAGACCCCCTGCGCCTGCTGGTGACTCCCACCTGGCATCCAGTTTGGGCTCCTACCCTAGGCCCCTGGGGCAGAGCTTCTCCTCTCTGCCCCAGGTCAGGCAAGGTGCAGCCCAGACTTGTGCAACCCTCACCCTGGCTTCCGCCTCCGCCCTTGAGGCACCTTCCTCTTTGGCAGCCACCATGACACCTGCCAGGCAGCTGTGGGGAGCCTGTGCGACCCTGTGGGTCTTCATGCTGCTGCTGTGCTGTCTGCTTCCCCAAGGTGAGGTGGCCAGGCTGGGAGGGCTGGGGCTGGGCCCTTAGCCAGAGTCAGGAAAAGAAAAAAGCGAAGCGTCCTACATCTAGCCGCAAGAGGCCCAGGCCACAGGGAACCCTTCCATTACACTCAGCCCTGACTAGGGCTCCAGCAGCATCAGGGAGAAAGTTCTAGCTTCTTAACTCAGCCTGGGCATGGTCAGATTCCTGCTTGTGACATGTGCTCCCTGCAACATGCAGTGCTCTCTCTCTTCTCCACCTCCAACAACTCGGGACCTTGCGCTTGAGAGGCAGGCGCTGGAACCACTGAGCTAAGTCCCCGGCCCTGACCTCCAACATTTCCCTCTGTGGTTCCCTCTGCTAAGATTACTTTCCCTTTTGCTTGGCAATTTTCTATTCACCCTTCAAAACTGGCCAGTTAGTAGGCAAGGTGCTGTACACCTGTAATCCCAGCACTTGGGAGGCAGAGGCAGAGGCATCACTGCAAATTTGAAGCCAGCCTGGGCTACACAGTGAGACCCTGTTTAAAAATAAAACTTGAGGGCCGGGGATTTAGCTCAGTGGTTTCACTGCCTGCTGTGCAAGCACAAGGACCCAAGTTCGATCCCCAGTACCAAAAAATAAATAAATAAATAAAACTTGCCCATGGTGGCCTCCTCCTCCTGGATGCCTTCCCTATCACCTCTTCCTGTTGGCTGGATCAGACTTCCCCAGCCTGGCTCTGTGCTCTGCCAGTCCCTCACTGATTCTGTCTCCCTCACCATGTCGGAGAGGGAGGTGGCACCTGCTGCTCAGTGGGTGGGTCCAGGGCAACTGAAAAACCACACGATGGTGCCCTCCTGTTCCCCCAGGTGCCCAAGAGCAGATGTTCCCACTGTGGCTGGAGCCCCCGGCTGCCGTGCTTGCTGCTGGTGGCTCTGTCTTGGTCAACTGTAGCACTGAGTGCCCCAGCCCCTCAAACCTCATTCTGGAAACGTCCCTGCCGAAGCAGCTGAATGGCAGCAGCCCAGGCTGGGCAACTTTCTGGCTCAGCAATTTGACTGAGGACACCAGGATCATGTGCTCCGTGCTGTGTGGTGGCTCGCAGGTGACAGCTTCCTCCAACATCACCATATACCGTGAGTGGATCAGACTAGAGGTGGACATGGGGCTCATCCCCTTACCTGATCACTGGAGAGACAGACAGACAGAGGTGCATCTTGGCTATAAAATCAATTACCTTGGGTCTCAATAAGCCTTTTCAAAAATATTTTTAGGGCCAGGGATTTAGCTCAGTGGTTCCACCGCCTGCCTCACAAGCGAAAGGTCCTGAGTTTGGTCCCTGATACCCCCCCAAAAATTTCTATTGTCAGGTGTGATAGTGCACACCTGTCATCCTAGCACTTGGGAGGCTGAGGCAGTAGGATCACTACAAGTTCCAGGCCAGCCTAGGCGACCTGAACTCCTCGTGAGACCCTGACTCAAAAAATCTTTTATTATTTATTTATTTAGTTATTGGTGGTGCCAGGATTCAAGGCCAGGCCTCAGGCATGCTAGGCAAGTGCTCTAACTCTAAGCAACATCCTCAGCCCCCAAATCCCAGGTCTCGATGGATGAAGTCTTCCACTAGCCCATCTCTGGTTTCTTAGGGATTATTCCAGAGTTTCTCAGCATTTACAAGGACAGAATAAACCAGGCGTGGTGGGGCACTCTTGCAATCCCAGCACTCAGGAGGCTGAGGCAGGAGGATCACCAGGAGTTCAAGGCCAGCCTGGACTGCACAGTGAGACCCTGTTTCAAAAAAACAAACAAAAAGAAAATTTTAAAAATACATCAAAAGGGCTGGGGATTTAGCTCAGTGGTTTCGCCGCCTGCTGCGCAAGCGCAAGGACCTGAGTTAGATCCCTGGTACAAAAAAACCCCAACAAATCAAAAACCGATTTAGCAATTTGGTGAGGTCCTGCCTGTAAACCCAGGTATTTAGGAGTCTTTGTGGGGGAGGTGGAAGGCAAGTTCAAGGCCAGCCTGGGCAACTAGTAAAACCATCTCAAAATAAATAAATGATGGGCCAGGAGTTTAGCTCAGTGGTTCTGGCACCTGCCTCCCAAGCGCAAGGTCCCAAGTTCAATCCCCGGTATCCCCCCAAAATAAATAAATAAACAAACAAACCAGGGCCAGCTGATAATTGCCATTGTCCCCTCCTCCTCTGTTAGGTTTTCCGGAGGAGGTGGAGCTGAGCCCCCTGCCACCCTGGCAGCCCTGGGGCCAGGACCTCACCCTGCGCTGCCTCGTGGTGGGTGGGGCGCCCCGGAACAGGCTCACCGCGGTGCTGCTCCGGAACGAGGAGGAGCTGAGCCGGCAGCCGGTGATCGGGGAGCCCACGGAAGTCACGGCCACCGTGCCAGTGGGCAAAGGCGACCACGGCGCCAACTTCTTGTGCCGCACGGAGCTGGACCTGCAAGCCGAGGGTCTGGGGCTGTTCCTGAACAAGTCAGCCGCCAGACAGCTTCGGACATTCGGTGAGGCGCTGGGGAAGTGGGCTCAGAGGGAGGGGCTCCTGGGGAAGAGGGGTCCTTGGAAGGAGGTGACCCTTGCTAAAATCCAGGTCACCTTGTGAAAAGGACCCTCAGGCATGGTGGTGCACGCCTATCATCCCAGCACTTGGGAGGCTGAGGCAGGAGGATCCCTGTGAGCTTAAGGCCAGCCTGGGCTACATGGAGAGACCCTGTCTCAAAAAAACCCCC